GTGACTTGTTAATGCTGTGTTCTTTTTAGGTCGTTTGCAGACCGTACATTTTGCTCTTCAACGACGAAAAAGATCCGGTGATTCGAAATCTGATCAACCTGGCACACGCCCGCATCGAATATTCTGAGGACCAGCAAGCCATGCTTAAGGTAATAACGGCTGTTTAAACGCGTCTTCGTTTGGCGCAACATGGTGATGCGGTTGGCATCAATGCATTGCAGGTGCCCAAATCCTATGAAAACGGTCCCCTAGGCCGCCAAAACCGAGGGATAATGATGTACGATTACTGTGTAAAGACTGCTAAACGACATGAGGTATAAATACTTACCTCTTTCCTACATTGTTCTAAAACAGTATACGGGAATATACGACCGTTTCAGCAAAACAGATATATGACTGTTTCGGTTCCGTCATCAAAACCAGCAAGACAAACTCATGTAAAGAGAAATCAGCTGGCAAAAGACAAATGTTGGCAATTATTTATAATGCAGGGAACACGTGATATATTGAACAGATCACAAGAGACTTTGGGGGTCAAGTCGGTAGACTTCAGCCATTTAAGATTTTGATGACTTTCTGCGTCCCCATCACCGATGTTGTTCAGTGTGTTGCTTTAGCTCGTGAAGACGGTATTTTATGTATCTTCACTTTCGACCCCGTTGAGACTCAAAAGCATTTGCTGTTGGTCTTAAAAGTAGAGTCACGAACCCATACCGACGAACGCTTTGCCTCTGAACGGGAATCACTGCATTGTCTAATTCCTCGCCCTTATGACTTTCCAGTTGAAGGTTCAGAGTCATTGAAGATCAGTTCTGCAATACCATGAAACCATTTCCATTGCATTCTGACGACGATCTGACGCTGGATGTATAAAATGTAGATTTTCACTTACGTAATAATCCTTGTTAACCAACTGAGACCCTAGGTACTAGGTAATCGTTGAATGCCATTCCATTCTGATTCCGTCCATATCGTCATGTACTGAAACCGATTTGTAGTTCGGTCCAAGCCGGTAATATCGCGGATTCTTTGGATAATTGCGAAGCCCGCCTCCGTGCCTAAACCTCTGCATCGTTGTACGTCATGGCTTTGGTGTAGGCTGAGTTTTAGGCAGTAATGCAGTAAAAGTCACACATTGCCAGTCTCGACTGAAAAGCAAATTGCTTTCGTTCTACGCCGCTATGGACGGATTACCACTCTGGACGTTAGCACTGCTGTTTTGCACGTGCATAGCAAATGATGCACACTGACTGTATTTTCAGGTTCCCAACACCTTCTCGGTGTGCACTGATCGACGTGGTTTCCTGATACAAACACTGTGTGATTGGGAAGTTCCGGATTGGTTGTACGCGATGAATCCATTACTGGCCGGGCAGATCAGATCCAGAGCCGCCCAAGCGCTGATTTCGGCAGAAGTTTCGTAACAGACAGGCAGACTCTTTTTTTGCGTATGTGATTTATATAATAAAAGCGGTCCTCTTCTTTTTCTGCTATCATTCTGTATATATCTATTTTAAGTTCTTTTGATAATTTCGCCTCTCTATTTCTACTTTTGCCGTCCAGCACCCGTCCGTTGCGGTCGTTGTACATCGTACAGTGTGGCTATTCAACGGCGCCCAAATGATGTATGTAGAAGCGTCGAACGCTTCGCTCAAAAATTCACTTCAGTTGTTAGCATTCATTTCGATGTTAAACGTTTGAATGAAATGATCATTGTTGATGGATACCGTTTTATGTGTGCAAGCGAAATATTGTAATAGAGAGTTCTTTACCGACGGTATCAGTATCAAGCGTCGGAACCGTGGTCTGTTTATGCGTTCCTCTTTTGGGTCTAGAAACAAGGTAGCGCTGCGGCGTTTCCGT